CCCTACAAATTTCTGTGGGAGATGTTTTTTCTCTTGCCTGTCCTTTGCTGAAAGATCTGTGCAATCAATGGGAGAAACTGACAGACAATAAAAATGGCAATGACACTAGGGCCGAGCTACTGTCAAGGGCTACAAAATGAAGGAGAAAAATAGAGAGCTATTTCTAATATTTGTTAGTGTTACCATAGGTTTTTAAATTATAAATAAGGGTCTACTCAATTTGTAATTCTGTGGCTTTCACGGAAACTGCAATATCTGGGATTGTCCATGAAATCAGCTTAAAAAAAAAGAAAAACTTAATAAAATGCTGGCTCCCCAGTGGGAGCCAGCGGTTCTTGCTGCTGCTGTGGCCCAACCTCACAGCCTGCCTAAGGGGAGGGAAGGGAAGTGCCAGCTGGCATGAAGGGCAGCAGACAAGATGGCAGCTGCTCCCTCCTCCCTCCACTGGGGCTTCTCCACCAATCAGTGCCAAGCGGTGGGGCTGCAAGAGCACATTCACGAAATATCTGTGGAATTTGCTATTTATATCACAACCAACCTGCAAAAATTGTTTAGTTTCTTCACGGTTTAAGTAGACCCCTAATTATAAATTGTGTTTTTTACCCTGAGGTGAAAGCATTATTTTGTGTTAATATGAATTGGAATTAATTCAAGACACTTTACACAAAGCTTCCTCACTCCCTGCAGATTTGAGGGTGCTTAACCAGGACTGGCTTAATCAGGCAGGAGAAAATCTGGGGTTCCTTTTCAAAAATTATCTCTTTGTTCTCATTGTGTTCTCATTGCTTGAAGCAAGGTGGCTTTATGGCTGATTGGCTACCACACACCCACAGGGGGAGTTTATAATCCTTTCCTCCAGGCTAATACGCCATTCATTAAATCATATTTCTGGTACTTCCCTTTCTTCCTGTGGTGGCTGTGGCAGCTGCATTTGCAGTCAGATACTCAGGAATTGTACTCAAAGTGGGCCCTACAGGGTTTAGCAGTTCACCAATACTATGCATATGTACTCTTTATTGGGGAAATACTTTACTTTTCAAAGAGAAGAGAGTAAGACAGCTTAGAAAGTTTAGTCATACCCTGTTAAACTGTTGTGCACTTCAATCAGGTATATAGCAATAAAATTCAATAGACTCCTGCTTCCTGTTAACTTTGAGGTCAGTGCATATAAGAAACTTGGGAATAAAACTGATTTAATTATTGAAGGAAATCATTGACTTATGAATTTTGCACAGAAAGTCATTAATAGAGAAACCTGATCTCTGCCATATAAACCTGATCTCTGTTTTCTTCTCTGTTTTCTTCTCTTGCTAATTTGAAATTTTTAGTCCATAAATTTACCTAGTGGTATTTAAAGCTTGTCATTTTTTTCAGATGAAAGCATGAGTTAAGTACACACAGTTTTCCTCCTACAGATCTTCTGCTTAGCAGTGTGAGTGTTTGATTGAAACATATTGTCCATAACGTGTGCATAATACAAGGCATACAGAAGCTCTGCTGGTCAATATTTGCTCAAAGATTGATTTGATAGTGTGTTTTAACCTTTATCATATTATGGAGCAGGTACTGGGAGGAGAGAATATTTTATATAGGTCTCATAACAGATTTGATATGATTACTGTGAAGTGTTCCGCTTGCCTCTACATTGAAACCATTGAGAAACTCATTTGGTGCAGAATACAGTTATCCACCTGTTAGATGGTGGGAGCCAAAGAGGACATGTTATGTCCTCTGAGTATACTGGCTTCATTCCTACAGGCAACTCAGAGGTTTGGTTTTGATCTGTAAAGTGTAAAGCACTGTCCAAAGGCTCTTGTCCTGGTTGTCTGTCTGAAAAGCCATCTCTTTGTTTGGCAGCTGAGGTTAACTGGTATATACAAACTGATAACCTGTTGATGTTTGTGTGGTGTTGATAGCAGGGTGTTTTCAGGGTAAGATCTTTGCCTCTGACATTTACTTCTCATGCCTGTCAAGTAGAGCTTGAGTTTGCAAGTCTTGGGGATATAGTGATGTTGTGACTTATTCCCTTAACTTTTTGCCTGACAAAAACTTGGTAAACCAGGAGAGCAAAGCTTATTTGAGGGGAATTCCATCCATTATTATTTTTCTCTTTTGAAAGAGGCACAAGTCTTATATATATTTTTATTGGGTTCCATACATCTGGCTTGAGTTATATGTACCAAGCTCTAGTGAATTAACTGTTAAATATCAAGATTAAGACCCACATTAAAATTTGAGATTAACAGTTATCCTCATGCAAAACCAGGCCTAGAGATGTACAACATGTACAGTCGCAAATAATGCTCCTTTGCATACAGCATCCTCACTTGCTGATGCACTTGGTAAGCTGTGCTGGGTAAGCTGGCAACAGGGAGTAGCTGAAATGTGAGTGTGGCCAGAGCACCAGGGGTTGTAAAAAATACCATCATAAAATTGCAGGGGGGCAGCACCTTGGCTTTCATGTTGAACTGAAAGATGACATCCCTGTCAACACAGCACCCTCTTGCAAGCAACATGGGTGGGAGGCTGTGGGAGGAGGACTGGACTTTTGGTTGCTGATAATTATGAAAAGGTTTTCTTTATTGTGTCCCCCATGATTTAACCGCCCCCCCCCTTTCAACATATAACATGAAAGGAAAAGAGCAAGAGAATGTGAAGAAAAGGAGAAAGGGAGAAAAGGAAAGGAAAGAGAATGTGAATGTTATGTGTTTTCAGTTTCAAAAAGTATTTGACAGATTGTCCATACTTAGTTGCTTACATTAGAACCTACATTCCAGCCAAACATTCATTTGGAGCTCTCTGATTGTGCTCTAACTTGGAGCACTACAAATTCCAAGCACTACAGCTCTGCACAGAAGGTAGAGCTGGGAGTGGAGAGCAGAAGATTTCAGGATGCTGGAGGACTGAGCAAAATGAAGCACTTCAGAGATGTTTCTCCTTCCTTGTCGGCCATTTTTAAAGGATCCTTTAGCCCAGGGGTTCCCAGGTGGGGAGGTGGGCCAAACCCTGTTCTGCCACGGGGCGTGCAGAAGGACTCACAGACTCTCCGCTCAGCTCTGGGGGGGGGTCACGGATTGCCACTTCCGGTCCAGCAGTCGACTGTGCTGTGGACTGGCAGCCAACCCGCCATGGCCCAGCACTGGCCTGCAGCCCAGGGATTGGGAACCCCTGCTCTAGTCAGTTTTAAAGCACTTTGTTAAATATGAATATCTTCACCTTCACTGGTTGCAGCACTTCAGTGGTACTTGACATGCTTCGAATGGCATGTTCATGGCCTAAATCTGTACTCACATAAATTACTTTGATATCTGTATGATGGTAAAGCGAAGGGACAGCCCAAATTTTAGGAGTGTGATTACATTTTTAAAATGACAGAAAACCTTGTGGAAGAGTTCTGTCTATTAACGGAAGTTCTGTATTAATGGCCAAAGCAACAGATTTTGAAAGGAGAAAGTGAAAAAATTAGGACCTACAAACTAAAAATAAAACAAGTCAAGATGGTGACATGCACATATGTAATTTGAAAAAGTAATCACCTACCTAAATAGAGTCAGCAAGTGGCTTAATCTGGTTTCTATGCAAGCCACTGTGATTCTTGATCAGTACCAAGATCCCACACAGAACATACCTCTAAACCCCATAGCTTCCCTACATAAACATGGGGCATAAAGGAATAGACATATATAGCTGGGAGTTGTTGATGACAGAAGTGACTTGCTTCAGACCATATAATTTTGTCTCATTACTCTGCTTTATTCTAATGTCTTTTGTCACCTCAGTGAGTAGAAGGGAATGTCAGATCTTTTCATTTTAAAGTAGGAAAACTGGATAGTATTAGCCTAAAAGACTGCCTTTATCAGGTTGTTAATTTATGACTTTAAAAAGCCTCAAAAGTCTGTCCTTCAGTTGCCAGGCATTGGACTAAGATCTGTTGTCCTAAAGTGTGTAAAGAAGTCCGATAGAAATGAATGTCAGACTTTTTAAAAATTATGTGGATCAAAAGAATTGTTGACTGTTTGTATAAATGTTTACAAGCTGTTAACTGTTTTGTGTTCCTTTTAGTCATAACCTATGTCCAGAACTAAACATCATGTTTAGATGAAATTTATTTTGTATACTGAGTTAGGTGTAGGTTGAGCTGAACTAATTTCTGTTCAGCAACTAGTCTGCAGTTAGCTTTCTTTGAGTTTTTAGCAAATAGCTCTATCTACACAATATTTTAGGTTGATAGGTTTGTTTTGGGGTTCTGATCGTTACTCTTTAACTAACCAGTAAATATGTTTTAGCAGATGTAATGATAACAGATACCTAATTGATGTGTCTCTTTTTGCAGGTGCACACTAAGTGTCACTCTGGAACAGGCTATAGTTCTTGCTAGGAGTCATGGTCTACCTCCTCGCTATATTATGCAAGCTACAGACGTGATGCGCAAACAGGTAGGCTTATCTTACACTTTAGAATGTAATCATTTCCCATGGGAATTCCAGGAATTATATTCTCATTTTTCCCAAGATTGATTGTGACATGGATAATTATAGTGTCTTCCATAGAATAATCCTGAAGTAACTATAGAAGACCGTCACAGTTCTGACATTCTGTATGTCTATCATAGCCTTTAGTGAGCTGTAATAAATTAACCTTTTAAATGCTGACTATATTAATATATTAAACTTTCAGATTAAGATCTTTGAATCCAGTGTATTTTAACTAGGGCTGTCAATTAATCACAATTAATGCCTGCGATTAATATGTTCATTTGATTTTGCATTAATTTTTTTAACATGTATTAATCACTGCTGGTGGTGGGGGAAAAGATGCTCATGCTACTCCCCCCGCTTGCTGCTGTGTGCTTGCTTGTGTGCTGGGGGAAAAGTGGCCCCTCTCCCCTTGCTGGTGTGTGCCTGCCTGTGCTGCAAGAGCAGTCCCTCTCCTGGGGGCTGGTGCATGCCTGCCTGAGCTGCTGGGGGAAAAGTGGCCCCTCCCCGCTTGCTGCTGCTGGGCCACAGGTGCACACGCGCACACACACGTACACACACGCATGCACACTAGTCAGACACACATGCAGGCACATGCCAGCCAGCCAGACACAGACACCAGCCAGGCAGTGTCCTTGGAGCAGACTCAGCAGCTGGTAAGCAGACTCCCCCCCATACACTGCAGATAAGTGTTTGGGGAGGCAGGGGTTGGAGGGCCAGATCTTGGGGACTATCTAGGGTTTGTGTACATGTGTGTACATCAAAAAATATTTATAATAAATTGGGATTCTAGCATTGTTTAACTGCGTGATTAAAATTGTGATTAATCACAACTACTTTTTAAAAATCTTGCGATTTAATTACATTAAATTTTTTTAATTGTTCAACAGTCCTAATTTTAACATTTTATTTTTAATTTTTTTTGTTTTTCATACCCTTCCTAGGGCTAAACAGTCATTGGAGATAATCACGATAGCCAGAGCTCTCAATGGGATGTTCTGGCCAAAAAGACTGATGTAATCCTAGGTGCAGGATGTATAAAAATGGAATATCAAATAAAGGTAGAAAAGTAAATGACATGGATAAGCCTCCTCCTGAAAATTGTCTACATTTGCTCTCTGCCGTACTAGTAGAAATACTGGAACAGGTTTAAAGGAGGTCCTCTAGAATGATCCAGGGGCTGAAAAGTAACGTTTTGGTAGGAGGTTTACGAAGCTTGACCTATTGGAGAGAATTTGTACATGGTGACTTGCTTGGAGGAGCATCCATGTACTTACACACCATACTAGGGAACTTCTCAACCCTGAGGACAAATCCATAACAAGATCCAGTGTGTGGAAGCTGAATTCAGAAAAAATTAACTTAAAATAAGATACAGTTTCTAGCACTGAGGGCAATTAAACATTAAAACAGCTTTCTAGAAGAGGTGATGAACTAACAGTTTTTCATTTCTGTATGTGTATTTGTGTATGTGTGTGTATGTGCCTGCTTCCTTCTGAAGTATCAGATATTGGTCATAGCTAGATATAGGGCAGTGAATAGTTGGGCGGGGGGGGGGGCAGGGGATGCAAAGCTTCGTGGTGATATTAAAAAAACACAACCTTCTTTCCAGAGGACAGACAGTATTTTAGTCACAGTATTTGATTTTATTCCAGTATTTTATTCACGTGCATGGGAGTCGTATTGTTTTTTAGACTTTGAGTCAAAAAGGAATTCCCTCTGGTCACACTGGAAGGGATGCTGGGATGTGACTATCTCATGTGGTCATGTGTCACTACTAGCATAACAAGTGGTGAATGAGGGGCAGCTGCCCCAAGCACCAAGTTAGGAGGGGTACCAGAATCTCTAACTTCACAGAGTCTACACCCTGGAAGCAAGAGCAGTCCCAAAATAGTCCCTGGCTGCTGCTGCTGTTTTAGGAACAGTGGCCAGGGTGGACAGAGTACAGGGTGGTGGTAGCAGCAGCCATATGGGGGCTGTTTAGGAAGGGGTGGGCAAAATATGGCCCGTAGGCTTTCAAGGCCTCTCACCCTTCTCCCTTCCCCATGCCAGCCAGCTGCAGCAGCAGCAGCAGCCACTCCCCTCCCCGTCTGCCCTGTCCTGCCCCCCAGCCACCGGCGTACATTCCAAGGCAGGGGGTGCTGAGCTCCTGGCTAGGCTTCTGCCCAGTGAGGCTGTCTGTGTGCAACTCTGACCCTGCAGCTGTTCACAGACCAGAAAGCCCAGCTCCCGGCGAGTTGAAGCTCAGGCATGGTTCTCCCTGCTGACAGGATGGGGGTGCAGGGGGAAGCTGTGGGTCATCCAGGCTCTGCTAGGCTGGGGCCTGGTAAGGGTGCGGGTGCCACTAACGCAGTACCAAGCTGTGTTTTCACGTGCTGCTTTGGGCTATACCATATGGGTGCAGCTGATGTAGCTCCTGCCTGACCCTGGTGTGGCTCCTACCTGACCCTGAGTCCCTGGAGTGCAGCTGGGTTGAGCAGAAGCCACACCAGCTGCACCCCCATGGCCTGAAGTGGTGCACGGGAACACAGCCTGGTACTGGCTTGACCTGGCCACATGCCAAGGATGAGGGGCAGGGGAGCAAATAGAAAGTTCCTAGTGGAAGAGAGGTGGATAAGTAGAAGTAGTCTTTCCTGAAGTTGGCATGGGAAGGATGTGATGATATTTTCCAGTTCCAGAGCAAATTCTGTGGTGGGGTCCTCCCCAAGTTCTTTATAGTATTTGGTGTCAGATAGTTTTCTGCCAGTATCACTGATGTAGTCTTGATGGTTAAGGAAGGGAGCTCCACTTTTGTCCATTGGTTTGATTACTCTTTAGTTGTTGGATCTTAGGGACTGTATGGCTTTTCTCTCTGAAGGGGAGAGGTTGTTGTAGTCCTGGCTTTTGTTGAGAATTTTGCTGTTAGCTTTCTTATTGAAACAGCCAGTGTTATAGTCCAATGTGTGGTTATGATTGTTGGGAAGTGTCCAATCTGATATTTTATTGTTGTTTGTTTTCTCAGTTGTGGCAGGAAGGTTGTTAGTGGTGGTAGTGCCCTGGCTGTGAAAGTATTCTTTCAGCAAAGGTTGCAGAAGAATTCTTCTAATTATCCACATATTAGTATCTTGTCAGGCTTCTTCTCTGGGCAGAAGTTCAGGCCTTTGGAGAATACAGATGTTTCCAAATGGGATAGTGTGTGCTGTGCTAAGTTGATGTTGGTGTTTTGACTGCTGCTGTCTTGATTCCCTCCTATGTTGCTGGTGAGGGTGAGATAAGATTTGATTATTTATAGAACAGCATACTATACGTGTACACAGTGTTTTACAGAATGTGTAAGATGGGAAGGTTTTTCCTTCTACTTACAGTGGAAAAATAAGTGTATCGAGTAGGTGCTTACAACCTACATTGGCTGACCATTAGTCCAGAAGATGAAACCTGGTTATTCAGCCTAGGAATCTGGTGGGTTTTAAGAATAAATCAGAATAAAGCTAGGACATAGGAGGTGATCAAGGTACAAAAATGAGATAAAAATGGGGAAGGAGAAGAGGAGGCATATCAGATGAGGGAAAGGGATTAAGATAAACTAAAGGTAAAGGTCTAAGCAGCAGTCCTGAAAGGAAAGGGGTTGGACCTCAATACAAAAAGAGAGGCAAACTGTGAAAGGGTTTGAAGGGGCATGTCTGTAGTGGAGACTAATCTTACTGGCAATTTTTGGATCAGTTGGGGGAAGACATGGTAAAATATAACTTCCCCAGTGAAAGACGGGTTATAATAGTCCAATTAGAAAAGTCCAAGGTTTAGAATTTTTTTAAAATTATACATATTAAGTAAAATGGGTTAAATATTAGTGAGAATATGGAGGAAAGGGTAACTATTGACAAAAATAGTAATGGAAAAAGAATACTTGTTTTAAATCCACACAATATACAAGTAGTTTAGTCAGATATTAGTACAGATTTGAATCATGTAATGGAGATCCATTAGATCTAATGTGTGAGGTTATAACGAGCCCTTATATTTTGGCTCAAACTAGGAAAATGCATGTTTGGTTAAAAATATAATAAACAGGGTGAAATGTATCCCAGTGCATAAGGAATATGAAAAGATCTGTGGTGTTGAAGCTCCGTATTAACTATACGTGGCAAATGGGGCTTAAGACCTGGCAACATCCTTTCTACACCAAATTTAATTCTAAACCTAGTTCAGTTTACTTAGAAATAATAGCAAAAATATATTATCTTATTTATTGGGGCAGGAAGTGCTGTCCCTGTACCCCACCCCCCAACTCAGGCATTAACTCTAAGCCAATTAACATATTTTCGGTTTATAGTGTAAGGTGTAACAAGGGCCTTTAATGATGTTCAGTCAGATCACATAGGGCTCCTCAAAAAGTAAGCTTTAACTTGATATCTTTTAAAGGAAAGCAACTAGTGTAAAATAATGAACCGGCAGTAATAAATTGTTTCTACTTTTCCAGTTCCAGTTGCAGGGACTCGAGCCTTCCTATCCAATGGAATTCCTATAATACCTAGTCAGAATGCTAAGGATAATAAGCCTGCCTTCAGGGATCTACTCTATCAAGTACTGAAAGTTTCTGGTTTCAGTTTTGTCTGACCAGTTTTCAGAAACTCTTGGTGCATCTATGATTCTGGCTTCTCTTCATGGCTTCTATGAATCTCTTGGGGTTTATTAAAAGAAAATGATAGAAACAATATTAGAAAACAAAGCAATGTTAGCCACTAGCAATGAAAAAGTATATGAGGGGCTAAACATATATCTTTGGCTTCTTTTAGAAGAAAGGAAATCTCATCTGGCTGGACTTCATTTCCCTTAGGGTAAAATAGCAAGTGATTGGTAGCTGTTAAAGAGATCAGTACCTCAGGACTATGTACACTAGGGCTGTGCGAAGCTTCAGTCCCTTCTTCAATTTGGTGGAGATTCAGCCCAATTCAGTGGCTAAACATCCAAATCTGAAATCAAATCAGAGGACCCTTTAATCTCTCCGAATCAAATCGGAACCCTCCAAATTGATTTGGAGAGATTCAGAAAGTTTCGGAGATTCAGACATAGACACAGCTTTAAATATTTTTTCTACATACCTCTAGGCAGCAGGTGTCTCATCAATGCTGCAATGCTGGGGCTCATGGAGCATCCCACACAAGCATGGGGGGCTCCCCAGCATGCTCAGCAGCAGACCCAGAAGTGGACCAGAAGCACTTCCGGTCCACTTCCAGGTCTGCTGGCGGGGGAGGGGGGGGGCCTGTACCCCG